ATGTTTTACACTCACTCACATGTGTGGGGGCCCATCGGAATAAAAAATGAAAAAAAAAAAACCCACCTACCCACACCCCTGCATTGTGTGTATCTAGTTGTGTTCAGTATAACCATGCTTCTTTACATGAAGCATGGTTCATTTTGTTGTGTGTGAAATTAAATCACACCAATCTCTGTGTCATTAAAATGATTGTGTAGATTTCATGCTGAATTCATGCCATTCACAATTAATATTAATGTGATTTCACCTTTTTGAACCATGACTTGTTTAATTAATTTTGGTTAGCAATGAAAGTCTGTGTGAGATGATGCATCTATAATTGACAATTTTTCTTGGGGATTAGGTGATCAATACATCCCTAGTTGACATTAGAAAGTACTTTTGTTGGTGTGACATTATATTTTTCACTTCGTAAGAAAATTGTTCAAGTACACATCAATTTATCTATCCTAATCACATTGCACATGCATAAAGCATCAACTTCACTATTCACGTTGTGCATTCTATGGGTGATATGATTGTAATTACCAGTGTTCTAAAATGCGTAATGCGTTGCGATGCGTCAAGTCCGAGAATCAAGAATCACAAGTTTAGGCGTGTCAATGCGAAGAATAAGCTTCATAATGCGTTTCGTATTTTTAAGGCATTAAATATATTTTTATATAAAAAAATAGATTTTTTACCCAAAAAAAAGGCGGCATAATGCCCGCATTAGGCGTGCCTAATCCCACCTAGAAGTGCATAAGCGCACGGCCTTTTAGATGAAAACGCATTTTCCGGCGCGTCTCGCCTAGGCGCACCTAGACGGCGCATTTTCACGAGCTTTAGAACACTGGTAATTACTATCTTGTGATTGTTATTTTCTAATGAAGCAGAGCTTTTATTAATGCTACAAAGAAGCTAAAGATAGTCATTGCCTTGGTCTTCCACAGCAGTTATGAAGAATAGAGAATTCTAACTTTGTCGACTCGACGTACTATGAAATTATATGGAGAACAAGTCTTCTAAGATTTAAAGAAGGTTGATGGATGCTAGATACAGTCAGAAATATACATCAGTATATCCCAAATCAAAAGCCACATAGTACATACAAAAATTACGTGATACAAAACCACTGGATACATCCCAAGTGTTCTTAATAGCAACTACATGACATATCCTTGCATAAAAATAGTACTTATTATGCAGCTTCATCGAAATCTAGTCGGAGATCGCCAGAGTCAAAGACAATGTGATAAACACCCCATGAACACATCTCCAAGAATCCTGTAGCCACACATAAAAATATTCAAAATAAGCTCGAGAATATTAAGTACCAACTAGATTATGAGTTAAACGAGCAATCTTGATTTACTCGAGAAAATGGAATAATGAATCATATTTCACGTGTTCTTTAAAACTTGACTTGTTTATAGATAGTTATGATGCTATCTGTTGCCGTGCTTGGTGGAGAAGAAGTGAACAAAGGAACACTCGCTTGCTGTCTTGTTCTCTATCGCTTATCTTCCCCTGTCCTTCGACAACATGAATAAAGTGATAAAAACTCTTTATAGCAGACTCGTCAGCAGCTGACTCTTCCTTATTATTCCCAAACCCGCCATTTTCATCTTCTTTTGTTGTCTTTTGTTTGCGGCCCTGCAACATTAGGTGGACAAGAAATATAAACGGTCTACGAGGTGTTGGTACATCCAGAGCCAATAGCCATAAATCCACTTATGTGAATAGAGGCGACGCCTTCACCAGTTTTGAGAATATAGTAGTATGCTAGAAAACGAGACAGTTTAGGAATGAGTTTTTTCAACAGTCGAAAACCCCATATGATACACATACAAGTCTGATTAAGCGATAATTAGGAATGATTTAGAAAGAAGTAAATTCTGTTTTCTCCATTCATAATTTGAGATGAAAAATAAGCAATTTTAATGAATGAACAAACATATTCTGGAGTGAGAAGTTAAGCTTTGCCTCCAATGGTAAATGTGACTTTTGGCATGACTGTATGAAAATAGAATTAATACAAAGATTATTTTCACAAGGGCTCACCAGAATACTCACACGGGTGGGCCCCACCATGTATTAAAAAAAGGGAACAATACATATCTACTAGTTTTAAAGTTCACATTTCAAAACTAACAAATTTGTTTAATTATTTCAAAAAT